AGGTTCGTGTGCCCAATATAACATATAGATTCGGCGGGACCATTGCTATGAGGGTCCGCGTCCCGCTACTCTTTTCCACATATTCGCATTAGTGGAGGTCATCGCTGGTCATAACTTGAGTCTTACCTTCCCGGCCCACGATCACATTTTTAGCCTTTTTTTGCACATCCATCAATAAGGAACGCAAAGACAAAGACCCATTGCTAAAGACCGGCGGGGAAGAGCAGAAGATTTTGTGGGGTGTGTGTGCTAGCTCCGTGTTTTATCTTCAGTGCATGTAGGCGTTAAGGCCGTCGCTGTCGTATGTTTTGGTGTAAAGAGGATTCTTTGTCGTTTACAACTACACCCACTAACTAAGTTATGTAGAGGCAGCGTTCAATCCTTGAGGTATACGGCCTTATGGGGAAAGATCGAATCTGAAGAACAGCTGTTTCAAAGAAACCCAAGGGTAGGGAGTGAGAAATGCAGCGTTAGGTACAGGATTAAAATTCATATCGCTTTTAAGAAATAAAAATGTAAACAAGATAACAACAGATGTTTTAATCTTAAGCAACAAAGTCTTTTTTAATAATATTACAATAACTGAAACGATCTATGTTTTATCTTCTTTATTACGCTACAGGATCGATAACGTCCTATCTTTCCACTCAGCCAAACTCATCCTCCCCGTTCCAGACCGGAACACCCGGCACGAACCCAACCAACCCAACAACCCCCCCCCCCCCCCCCCCCCCCCCCCCCCCCCCCCCCCCCCCCCCCCCCCCCCCCCCCCCCCCCCCCCCCCCCCCCCCCCCCCCCCCCCACCCCCCACACACCCCCCCCCCCCCCCCCCCCCCCCCCCCCCCCCCCCTAACCCCACAACGAAAGCCGTTCGCACCCACATGATCAGAGAGTAGGACAACCGGACACACAACCCCCAAAAACGAGAAAGGCGACCGGCATAATACCAGACGACAAGAAGGCCCAACACCAGACATCCACCCACCAACCGCCCTCGAATATGACCCAAATAAATCGATGTGGATCGGTGGCGTTTGCAAGAAAAAAGTCTCGAATTGTGTTCTCGCTCATGTGATGTCCTTCATTATGCCCAGTTCCCAGCATGGAGCGGTTTCCATCAAAACAGCCCCCCCCAAACCACCAAAAGCCCCATTTATGTTTATTTATCCCATCTACACCAATTTAATACTTATCTTCCTGTTACGACAAAATTTACTCGTCATCCCAACTCTCGACACACTATGGCGGATACCCAGACACACACTTTACCCCACAAAGCGCAATCATCATATTGGTTGTAGTCGTGAGGGTGTAAAACGAACCTCCTCCCACATCTCCGCCCCACAACACTTTTATAGTACATCCCCACTTCTCTCACTAAGACCCGCTTCTTACATTCCTGACCCCAGACCACGACCCACACCCCCCCCCGCCGACCCTACTCCACCCCACAACTAGCACGGTCACCCAGATAACACTGCTACTGGTGACGCCGTACCGCGTATCCCCACCGTCCGCACAGCAAACAAAGACGTTTACGAGGCGGTAACGCCAGAGGGAGGGCCCAACTAAGGAGCGGCGAGAGGGGGGGGCCAAACAAGGAGAGCGGGGCGCGGCGCGTGAGGCCATGGCAACAGGCGCAGCCCAGCAAAGTGCCCCCCATAACGTCATTTTTTGCTACCGCCCTCCCACATGCGGCAAGGAAAGGGGCACACGCTAATGAACCCATCGCGCGCGCCGGGCCGCGGGACCCACGCCGCTTCTCTTTTTTCCTTTATTTTAAAACACGAACACTTCTACCGGTTGCCGTGGTGGGTTCACGGTAGGGATCTGCACTGTGAGGTGGGGGACGCCTCGGCGGTTAACTGTTCGCGCATGGTGGCGATATTAACCCGTATCTTTATCCTGATGTCCACGTTAGGAGACAGGCGCCCCGGCGCGCGAGATACACGTGAATACCCAAAGCCGGAAAAACACCAGGAGCTACGGAGGGAAGCCAGGTGGGGCCGAGGGGCACCACAGCCGGCCCACAGCACACACGGAGAGGGAAGGGACAGCAAGGCAAGCCCAAGACACAAGACAGCCGCATCATAAAACACAGTCTTCATACTCCATGTACTGACGCGTCGCCAGACCCAGAGACAACAGAACAGCCAGCAGCAGAAAGAACTTCCATAATCTAACCGATGTTCCAAGACAAGAGTCCCGACCAGGAAAGCACGATTTAGAACAGTGGTGGTACATTCGTGAGACACATACTTTGGAAAATGTTGTGGCACTATCGCTCACCAGGATACCTCTCTCATCGAATTATAGAGGATGCGGCTCTAGAATCCTGAAACTTGTGATTCAGGCAGAGCAACAAGGAACGGATGTTTTGGATCAGTGGCGAATAAATCGAAAACTTATTCCTGTCGAACTTCGGTTAAAGGTCGCAGAAACTTTCACCGCTCCAATATTAGAGCAACTGAAGCAACAAGCATACTGACGAATGTACAAAAGCATAACTTGACTGTTGCTTTAATGGACTCTGACGTAGGTCTAAACGAAGATTGGGACGCACCTTGGCGGAATCAAGTTGCAAACGAGATGTCATTGACCCATTAAAAAAACGAGTAACTGCCGACCTCCCATCGGTCGGCGTTCTTCCACACGTGACAGCTTCACCTCTCTGCGGGCACTTAAAGACCGAGAAACTGGCCTGCTTGTATACAAATGCTCAGGGTCTTTCTAACAAACTGGCTGAACTGAAAGATCGCCAAGCTTCCGGCTCGTATGATGTCATTGGTATCACCGAGACATGGTTGCACACGGGAATGACGGACGCTGAAGTGTCGCTACCCGGCATGTCGCTGATCCGGAACGATAGGCTCACAAAAGGAGGAGGGGTAATCCGTACTACCGAAACGACTTACAGTGCGAAGCCGTGGAGGATTCAGACTCGCAGTTCCCCGACTCTCTTTGGTGCCGGTTGCAGTTAAAAGGCAGGGACGCTTGCCTTATTGTCTTGGTGTACCGCGCCCCTAACTCAACACCCGAAACCGAGCCCACTAGGGAGGGGGGGGGTGAGGTGCGTTGTGGGTGGTGGGAGTTGCGGGCATAGACGGGCCCCGGAGACGGGTGTGTGGCGGTCGGGGTAGAGCGGGGTGACGGGTCCCCCGGACGGGAGGGGAGCTGGGCGGCGGGGATTGTGGGGGGGGGCTCGACCTTAGTTACCGGGGAACTTGGGGCCCTGCGCTACCGCACAGCGCGGGCTCCCACCCTCAGAATCCGTCGGGCAAGGCCGCGACCCTCGGGGGTGGGGACCCCCGACCTGCTGGCGCGTCTCACCCCCCGAATGGCGCTGATGGGGACCTGGGACCCCGGGCCAGTCGGGGCGCTGCCGGGCGGGGCAAGGTCTGGGGGCGAAGGCCGACCCCCTCACCCCCCGGGGGTCCGGAGGCGGGGGACCCACCGGGGTTAGCACCGCTGGCTAGGCGCGTGGTACTAAAAAACACCACCGCGCGGGGCCGTCTGGGGACGGGTGGCGGGGCGGGGGAAGGGGCGGGTGTAGGCCGAGCGCGTGCGCGCGAGCGGGCATCCACCTTCGCCGCTAAAGCCTCCGCCCCCCCCCCACCCCCCCCCCCCCCCGTCCCCCCCGGCCACCACCCCTACACTCCAGTGGGTGACTGCATTGGCAGCCGTTGGGTCGCGGATCCCTGTCGCGGACGCACAACCCGGTGACATCCGATGCTGCCCCGGGCTTGGCCGGGGTGAGGGCGCAGCGGCGACCGTCGGGTGCCATGCGGTGGGGGGTCGGGTAGGGTAGAGGTTTTGAGGGGGTGGTGTGGGGTAACCGGGGTTAGTAGGGGGGGCTGGGGTTGGTGGGCGAGACGGTCCGGCGGGCCTGGGGCCTCTTGGGTTGGACCCCACCCCGGGGGGCTGTGGGGGAGACGCGCCGGCCCTGACCTCATCTGGGCCACCCCCACCCCGGCCCCAGGCAGATTGTGGAGTGTGTGCGGCCTGGGGCTGGGCGTGTTCGGGGGACCGCCCAGGCGCGCCGGTCCCCGCTTGACTCGGCCGCCGCCCGCCCGACGGCGGTTGAGGCCCCGGTGGTCCCAATGGCGGTACAGCGGGGTTAGCGCGCCGCGGCTCGCACCGGCCCCCCGTGCGGCCCTCGGCACCCGAAGGAGGCGGGGTTGTCCGGGGGTGGACCGTAGGTGTAGCGCTGACTCGCCTTTGCGAGCATGAAGGGTTGGGGGGGGTGCGAGAGGGGGATTGGTTGGCAGGGGCGAGAACGGGGTAGCGGCGGATGGGCCCGCCGGCCGGACCCGGGAGGCAGTGCGCCGATGGCGTCCCAAGACTGCTCAAGGGAGGGCGACACTAGCCGTTGCGCCGGGGCGCGGGGCCAGGCGCCTCTGACGCCCCGGGTGGGGTCAATCGCCGCCGGGGCCCGTGCGTCCCCCCCGGGGCGGGGTGGGCGGCCCCCACGCCCCCCCCCACAGAGCTGCGCGTGTGAACGCTCCCCGCCCCCCGCCCCTCCCCCCCCCCACCCCTCTAGCGTTGGGTGGCGAATGGGGCAGCGGTGAGGTGCGGGGGCGCGGGGTGCTGCATATCCTCCCGCCGGCCGCCCCGACGCCCCCGCCCGCATCCTACCCCTATGGGCATCTGACATCCAACACTCTTGCTCGATGCCGGGTGGGCCCCTGGGTGCCGTTGTTCCGGTCCACCTATTCAACTACATAGTCGGAGCCTGTCTGTCTAGCCCTCGCCGCCTTCTTCGTGGTGAACGTCTTACGGTCGCTTTGGCGACTTACACCCGCTCGCTTAGGCCAGCAGAAGAAGGCTGAGAAGACACACACGGGGGTGTTCCGGGGTGGGGTGGTGCTGGTTCGTGGGTACTCGATGCCTTGCAGTCTGTTTTCGTATCTGCCATGGGGGCTCATATATCTGCAACGATGGTGAGGCTGTTTTCAGAAAAGATTGGCTAAGCCGTCACACGGTGCAGCTACGTTGATCTTAATGGTTCTTGGCGTGTTCATGATTCTCATTAGTGGGGTTGTTTTATTTTGTGTGATTGTTTGACCCCCGCTTAGGCCGGACGCTAGAGAATGACTGTCGCTAGCGTGCCACGTATTTGGGAGTGCAAGGCCCCCCAATGTTATAGGTCCATTGTTGTCTTGTGTCTGGTTTGGCGCGCCACGGACTTGTCCGCCATGACGACAGCGTGCAGAAGAGATAGGTAACATGGGTTTTAAATAGGGATGGAGTCAGGCGCGCGGGAGGATGCGGTTGAGGGAAGGGTTGGCGTGGGGTTACTCGGTTTCGACACTTCTGGGGGGTTGGACCGGGATGGTGCCGTTGCTTGTCCGTTAGAAGCCCACTTTGCGCACTTGGGCTGGTGCGCGTCGTAACCCTATTGCTGAAAGCTCGTCACCTGACGAGTACCGCACCATCATTGGCAGAAAATCGCACACCCCCGCCAACAAACGTCCCCCACCGTAGCGCTACGCGAGGGGAGACCCCCCCAAACAAGTCCTCCCGGGGTTTAACCCCCAAGGGGAGCCCGTGAGCCGAAAGAACAAAACAACCCAAAACCCCTGTAATATAGAAACCTCCAAATAAAAAAAAAAATAAACAACTAAGAAAACCAAAAGAGAAACCCCCAACCCCCCCCCCCAACCCCCCCCCCCCCCCCCCCCCCCCCCCCCCCCCCCCCCCCCCCCCTCCGCCCCACGACCCCCCCGCATCCCCAACAAAAAAAAAAGAAAAACCCACCCCCCCCCCCCCCCCCCCCCCCCCCCCCCCCCCCCCCCCCCCCCCCCCCCCCCCCCCCCAAAAGGCCCCCAAAACAACCCACCCCCTCCCCACAAAAAATAAAAATCCATATTACATAGAATATGAGAAAAATTTATATAAAGAATAAATTTTGTTAAAATATAATAAGAAAGCCCCCCCACCACCAACAACCACACACCACCCCCCACCGCCCCACCCCCGCACCAATTTTCGATTGATATTATTTTGTTTTTAAGGTTAAAATCCCACTATATTATTAAAATATTCTGTCACGGGCCCTTAGCGGGTGTTATGGGTGCCGCAAGTGGTGCTGCAACAAATATTGTTAATTCCAAGTTTATACATCAGGTGTATAGGGGGCGGATGAGGACGGTATGGATACCCAATCTCCAGCTGCCACATTCGGGGGGACCGCTCGAGCCGGCTGGGCGGTTGCACTGGAGGTGTTGGGTCAGGCGGGCGAAATTTACTCAGCCTTTCCCGTCCCTCAATGGTCGGAAGTTCATAGTCAGCACCACCATCCATCGTCCGTAAGCACAGGGTGTTTAGGGTGGAGATGGGGGGGTTTTGGTCTAAATAGCCTCCCAAAGCAAACCGCTACAAGCTGCAATTAGCAAAGCGGGTGATGTGATCAATGGAAATGTATGGTCTGAATTTGCGCGAGCGTTGTTAGGTTGAGATTTGAATGGGTGATAATGAGTAGGAGCAACATGGAGGGCCGAGGGGAGGAAGCGACAACATGAGGTATGGGGTGCAAGCAAAAAACACGATGTGATAATGGTCTGAAGTGGATGAAGGGATGGCCAATCTTTTTTCTGTTTTTCTTTTATTAGAATTTTATATAGCTACACATTCTCGGGTGTTCATTCGTAAACTCTGAAATAGAACCAAATTGACAATCATTTTGGCTAAAAAAAAAAATGGGCATGAAAATAGGGGACAACGGGGCGAGAGGGGGTTAGAGTCAAATTTCTAAACACAAAAATATGTCGTCGAAGGCGGGCACCTTGCGCGGGTGGAGGAACGCGCGCGCGGGGGTGCTGGGGCATACACACGCCGCGGGGGAGGGGGAAACCAACCAAACAAGAAATTTCTTTATTTTCGACGTTATATTATTTCGGTCGCGGTGAGAAAGAAATACTACTAAAACGCTCCTAACGCTATCGCCACACGCCCCCCCTCACAAGAAGTAGATTCGGGCTCGAAGGGCCAACCCGATGGTGTTGCTGGTCGAGGAAGTTCGTGTCGTAGTAATGTTTGAACGTTTCTATATACCCTTTTTCATGAAATTTGTTAATTGTTTAATTGTTTTTTCGGTTTAAGACTGAAGGGGAGACGGGCAATTACGACAAGCAAACCCACCGTTTGGCCCATGGTGGATGCCGGGGGAAAAGCGAAAAGGGCAGGGGTGTCTTGAACCCAACTCACAAACGCGGGCCCGAACATAACTCTGGCCCCTAATAACTTTTCTTTTAGCTTGTCCGTGTTTATTGCCTAGCCCCGAATGCCCCCTCCGGTCCCCCAACCTTCCTCCCGGCGACTTTTCTCTTGTTCCCAGAGAAGAAAAGAAAAGAACAAAAAAAAAAAGAAAAAAAAAAAAAAAAAAAAAAAAAAAAAAAAAAAAAAAGAAAAAAAAAAAAAAAGAAAAAAAAAAAAAAAAAAAAAAGAAAGAACAAAAAAAAAAAAAAGAAAAAAAAAAAAAAAAAAAAAAAAAAAAAAAAACAAAAGCAGAAAAAAATAAAAAAATAGGAGAAGATAATATAGGGAATATTGTTGAAATGGGCTGGTGTACTAAAGATGGGGTTAAGTATGGGGTGGGTTTGGGGGGGGGCGGGGTGTAGTTTCAGGGATTGAAAAACCAGAGTGTCGCGGTCCGCGAACATGCGCGAGTAGTTATTCCGCCCTCCGCCACCCTATCACTCGCCCCCCCCGTACCGCCCGATACAGACCACTGTCGGCTCCCTCCCCCGAGCTACCGCGGAGGGGAGGGGCGAGAGTGTGGCGGAGGGGGCGGGGAGGGTGGGGAGGAGAGGACGAGCTTCTTGCAGGGGACGGTAGCGCACTACCCAACGACCAAGGGTAGGGTGCTATGGCACGCAGGCTGGTGGGGATGCCGTGGGCAATAGCAGGAAGACGGCGGGGGGGGCCGCAGCGGGGAGGGGCGGACGGGAGTTCAGTCGCCGGGCCTTTGTTTCCGCCTTGGATTGAGTTGTTGGATTGTTCTTCACGGGGCCGTTGCCCCGGTCCCCACCGCCTTGCGAGTCTATTTTTTTTTTTTTTTATGCCTCTTGCCACTTTAGCCGCCTCCGTCTTTTCCGGTGGCCTACTCTAACCTTGTTGCGGGCGGCTGGCGCCCCTCTGTGTTCGCCGACCTCTTGGGACAGTATGCTCCGGTGGAAATTTACCACGCAGGCACCCGTGCCACCGCACCCGTCATATGGCCCATCCATTTGTCAGTTTTTTGTTCCCCCCCCAACCTTTAGTATGCTGTATGCAGGATAGTCTAGGCGGGAGTGGAGGTCTTTCTTTTCTCCGGATGTCGCCGGCGGGTATGTCGTGGTGAACTTTTTTGTGCTGAGTGTTGGTTTCTTTTTTTTGTAACGATTGAGAGATCTAGTTGTGCCGGAACCATCACCCAAGGTCATGACACCCACCCACCCAACCAACCCAACCACACCCCCCCTCCTACTTCGCCCCAGAGTGGCAGCCTTTTCCTAGTCCCCTTCCCCCCGCACACCACATACTACATCGTGGTTCTTTCGCTTCATAGAAGAACCCCCGGAAGTCCAAATTAACATAAAGTCCGCACTGGCCTTTTGCGTCTGGCTGGCCCTTCCCTTTGGACGTTCGTCAAACACCACAAAATTCAGTCAGCTGTATGCGTTGCACAGGGCCCTTCTGAGGTGTTTTAAAGCTTGCCCAAATATGTGCAAAGCAGCTGTTTTCTTTCGTTAGGAGGACGATCCCGGACAATGGGAGATAGGGGGTCGAGACAAATGGGTTTAAAAAATCATCAGCCGGAAAACGGGTCGCGATACGGCCGGGAAAGGAAAAAAAATAATGGGAAAAAAAATATTGTGGTGTTTGGGGGGTCTTTTTTTAAGTTTTTTGTTTTGACAGTACGCAACGCAGCATGGCGAGTGTACAGAGAAGCTCCAGCACCAGAAACTTGGGACAACTACGTAGCCCAACGTAACCACTGCACTCAACTGTTAAGAGAAGACAAAGCCGCCTATCAGCAGAACATCGCAAAAACCTTCAGTGCTAACCACAAACTGCTGTACAAGCACGTTAATAGCCTACGAAAGGTGAGGCAAGGATTTCCTCCACTCAAGACGGCTGATGGCCCAACAAGAACGTCTATGGAAGCTGCAAACGCCCCTGCAGATGCAATACGCCCCCACGTTTCAAAGGGTCTTGCCACCAAGCGATCTACCAAGCTTTGTATTCTGCTCACCAGGACTAACCCACATCAATTTTACCGCAGAGGCTGTATTGCAAAGCTGACTTCTCTACGCAAACACAGCTCGCCGGGTGTCGACACCATTCGTCCTGAGGCATTGGGAGCAGCAGCAAACCAACTGGCAGGACCTTTAGCTCAGTTTTTCCAGCACTGCTTAGACCAGAACCAAGTTCCCGCCATGTGGAAGCTTGGAATAATAAGCCCGATTCACAAAGGTGGAAGCAGAACTGATCCCTCCAACTACCGCCCATAACCCTTCTTCCTATACTCTCCAAGGTCATGGAATCCATAGTTGCCGATGCACTGGTGTGCTATCTGGAAAACTGCAACCTCATCACTCCTGAACAGCACGGTTTCCGTCGACAGCGGTCATGTACAACTAATTTACTAATTGCACGCAGTAGTTGGACCGAGGCAGCCGACGCTGGAGAAGGTGTTGATGTGATCTACCTGGATTTTTCCAAGGCTTTCGATCGTCTAGACCATCGGATACTACTATCCAAGCTGCAGCATTACGGGATCGGAGACCCTCTTTTAAGCTGGATCGCCAACTTTCTATTTCAACGGCAATTAGTGGTCAGAGTTCGGAGCTCTTTATCGGACCCCATACAAGTCGAGTGTGGTGTGCCGCAAGGCTCGGTTCTAGGTCCACGTTTGTTTTTGGTGTTTATTAATGACCTTGCACAGGGAATCGCTTCAAACTTCCTAATGTTTTGCCGACGATATCAAGATCTGGCGCAGGATCCAGGCGAACGCCGACCAACATGTGCTCCAGAGTGACTTAGATACAGTGTATCAATGGTCGATCCAAAACTTATTGCATTTCAACGTCAGTAAATGCAAGGTGCTTTCCATCCGACATCAAAGCAGCTACTCATACCGACTCGGAACGGATGTACTGCAACAATCAACTCTCGAACGTGACTTGGGTGTCCTGGTTCAAGATGACTTGGGTTGCTCCAGGCAATCCGAAAAGGCCTCGAAGACCGGGAACCAACACGTCGGGCTGTTGAGGCGGGCGTTTGGACAAATAAACAGCTCCATATTTCGACAAATGCTCAGTGCGTATGTTCGCCCCCATGTCGAATATGCAATTCAAGCCTGGCATCCATGGCTGAAACACGACCTTAATGCACTGGAGCAGCCACAACGCCGGGCATCTAAGAACGTAATTGGAATGCGCAATCTTTCCTACCAGGAGAGGCTGCAACGACTGTATTGTTCGGTGGAAGCTATCGCAGACTACGAGGCGAACTGATTATGGCGTACTTGAATCTGCGAGACCCACATCATGTGTGCCGCACTTTACTGCAACTCAGCAGCAATACAAACGTGATGCGCCACTCATTAATACTCGGCAGAACAATACAGTCGTCTGGAGTGCCGCAGAAATTGCTTTTCCATTCGTGTTTGTCACCTATGGAATGCTCTTCCAGAATTGGTCGTCTCTGCACCGACACTAACAATATTTAAATGACGGTTGAATGATGCACTCAACCACTTACACTTTGTTACTTAACACTACGTCTCCATCCTACACCTGGAGTTTACCATGGAATTATTTGTGTTAACTGTGGATGCTGTGAATCTAAGAGGATCGCAGGACTGCAGCGAAGCAAACGATAA